CCTGTCCCCTCCTACAGGTGTTTTCTGCAGGAGGCTCCAGTTTATACTCGGTCCTTACAGACAATGAGTCCCTTCTTGAGGTTCCCTGTATTTCAGGGAAGACCAATTGGTCACTTGCCCTGCCTTGAGCAGTTCCTGTGGCCAGGGCTGGGGGTGGGGGATAGAGGCAACCTCATTCACATATGTGTGTGTTTCCCACAGAATAGAGAGGTTCTGTTAACCAGAAAAAATGGGGGCAAGGGCTGAGGGCAGATAAAACTAGCAAACATACGTCCTGTATTCTGTGTGTTTTCTTTTGTTTGGCTGGCTTTGCAAGAGGTTTGTCTGCTTTATTGGCCCTTTCCTTCTATTTCTTTAGGTTTATTTACTCATTTCTGGTTTCTCAAGTTGTATGCTTAATTAATATCAATTTGTTTTCTAATATAGTTAGAGCTATGTATTTTCCTCTAAGTAGTCCTTTGTCCCTCACTTTATCGTATGTCTGTGCTTTTGTGGCATTGTATCTATAAGCTGGGTCTTACATTTTTCTCTAGCTCTCCCAGTGATTCTATGATCTACCTAATAATATCTTAGTCCCCCTAAAACCTTTTCATCTCCACTTACCCATCTCTTATCAGCCATTTAGCTTCTGTGGGCTGTAGCTAACAATCCCAATGGAGGTAGGGTCCTTGTATTCTGCATACTACTTTCCTTTGTCATTCTCTGAAGCTGGATTCTGCTTGTGTCTTGCCAACTTAGTGGTGGGATCCAACCATGTATGAATAGATCACCCAGAATGAGCCCTTTTTCCCTAATGCCATGGCCAGCCTGTGTGATTGGTTGCCTACTAGTACTGGCCCCTCTTGGCAGTTATGTTTGAGACTTTGTGGCCCTTCAGACTCTACACCTTTGTCACTTTAGGACCAGCCTTTGCAGCCAGGTCATTTCTGCTTCCTGCTGCAGCTCAGCACACCTTCCTCCCTTGTCACCTAGCCACCCATATATATGTACCAAGGAGCACAAATGGCAATCTTAGCTAACCATATGTCTTTTCTCCTTTAATCTATAAATGTGGTGAAGTATCTTGACATTTTCTTGTGTTAAAACATCCTTGCATTCCTGGAATAAAAGTCATATATTTTTTA